TAATCCACGGTACTCTACACCTGCAACTACAAGTGTTGTGTGTCTGACTAAATAGGTATAAATCATCTTACTACTTAATTCCACGGTACTCTACACCTGCAATACAAGGTGTTTGTGTGCTGACAAATAGGAATTAAATCATCTTACTCTAATTCCAGGTACTCTACACCTGCAATACAAGGTGTTTGTGTGCTGACAAATAGGAATTAAATCATCTTACTCTAATTCCAGGTACTCTACACCTGCAATACAAGGTGTTTGTGTGCTGACAAATAGGAATTAAATCATCTTACTCTAATTCCAGGTACTCTACACCTGCAATACAAGGTGTTTGTGTGCTGACAAATAGGAAAAGATTTTAAGTTGAAGTAGATTTTCATCAGCAGATGATAGAGGTATTCAAAACTGTGATCAGTTGGCCACTCTTTTGGTAAACTTCAAGTGTTTTTACCAATACATTTATGATGTCTGAATTATAAAGTTGTCACAAACAACATTGAATTCAATACAAACTTAAAGAGATCTGATCAGTATGTGAAAAATTGTGCTTGACGTAAGTTTACTGTATGATGTTTTACTGCTTTCACCTCATTCTATCTTCCTTTGACAACTTGTGTTATGATTTTGTACGTGTATTTGTATCCAAAGTCTTGTAATATTTTCAGTTTTTGTATTTCACTGCATCTTATTGTTTTCCTGCTCTTTCCTCAGTCCATCTTCCTTGACAATCTGCATTATAATTAAGTATGTACATCTTTATCGCAAGTCTTGCAACATTTACAGTTTTTATAATCTCTGCTAATTATCTTTCTGTAGATCTTGCCAAATAATACATGTACTGCCTGTTTGACCTTTGTAAGTCACTACATTCACCATTCTAGTGTGTTTTCTTTTCATTGATGTTAAACAGTTCTTTCTCTCTTTTTTTTTAAGTGCTAGAAATTTTTTATTGGCGGTATTATAATAATAATAATTAAAATGTTTGTAACAGAGTTTTGGTAGTATCAGTAAATATTTAATTTAATTAAACAAATGTGCTGAAACTGGTTTATTTCTGAATATAAGCATTAAATGATTTTTTCCGTTTCATTTTCAGTATCAATACTTAATCAGATACTGTCATTGATGATTGAAAGTGATAGAAAATACTCAGAGGAAGACAGAAATAATTCCTTTTAAAAGGCTGTTTTCAAGATGCATGAACAACTCAAACTGTTTTAAAAGAAAAAAAAAATAGGATACTTAAATTGATACTTTCAAAAAAGTGTTCTTAAACAAAGTACAGATACTGTTTATGAAAAGTTTTTTTTTACTGTTTCACTTGCTACTTAACACATATAAAGAATATCAATGCAGCAGGTTGGTGAAAAAAGTACTTTGAGTGAAGAACAGAGAAAGAAAATAGAAGAAAACAGGCAGAAGGCACTACAGAAACGAGCTGAAAAACAACTAATTAGGTTACCTGTATTAGTAAGGCAAGATAATGTACCATATTATAAACCTTCATCTGTTTGTAATAATGCTCATAATGTACTACCTTGCAAGAATTCTTGTACTGAAAGCAAACTCTTTCAAAGGCAAGTAAAATCATCAATAGATACAAGCAATATTAGGAATGTTGTTTCATTAAGTGCTGGAAATATTGAAGATAATCTGAATAATTGCAGTCCTAGTGTAAAAAAGTCGACATTTTATAGTGATAGAAAACATGAAAATCAGAATACTGTTGACAAATCTTCTGTGAGAAAGACTAAAGCAGAATTGTCTTACTCTAATTCCAGTAACTCTAAACCTGCAATACAAGGTGTTTGTGTGCTGATAAATAGGAAAAGATTTCAAGTTGAAGTTGGTTTTCATCAGCAGATAATAGAGGTATTCAAAACTATTCCCAGTAAAGTATACGATGCCAAAGAAAAGCAATGGAATTTTGCAGTACAAGACCATGACAAATTAATTCAAGGTATCATTCCATTGTTTCCAAATGTAGTAATTTCTCCTTTGCCACCATATATTCTTAGAGTTTTTAAAAAGGCTTCTGATGAATGTGAAATTCCATCAATGGATCTCTCAAATCTTGATCTTAAACTTCAGAATTCTTTGCTGCCATTTCAAAGAAAAGGAGTCAGTTTTGGAATATATAAAGGAGGAAGACTACTGATTGCTGATGATATGGGACTAGGAAAGACTATTCAAGCAATAGGTATTGCTGATTATTACAAGGATGAATGGCCTTTGCTTATTGTAGCTCCTTCTTCAGTACGTTATACATGGGCTGAGGCTTTCCATACATGGTTACCATCTTTGGATCCTCAAGAAATAAATGTTGTCAATTCTTCAAAAGACTCTGTGTCTGGGAGTAAAGTTGTGATCATGAGCTATGATATCCTAACCAGAAAAGTGAAATTTATTCAAAATCAAAAATTTCAAGTTGTTATAATGGATGAGAGTCACTTTTTGAAAAACTTCAAATCTGCTCGTACTCAAGCAGCACTTGTTGTTATGAAAACTTGTAAAAGAGTTATATTACTTTCAGGGACGCCTGCACTCTCTCGGCCAATGGAACTTTATACTCAGATATCTGCAATAAATAACAAAGTTTTTCCAAATTATACGGATTTTGGAATTCGATACTGTAATGGAAAAATTATGCCATGGGGTTGGGACTTCACTGGATCTTCCCATATGACAGAATTGCAATTATTGCTAGAAGAAACTGTAATGATTAGACGTTTAAAAGCTGAAGTGATCACACAGCTTCCAGCTAAACGGCGTCAAATGGTTCTTTTGGATCCATCTGTTGTGCATTCTCATAAAAAGATTCTTGAATTCATGTCAAAAGAGGTTAATCGTACAAATTTGCATGGAATGGAGCGTCGAGGAAAGCTATTACAGTATTTCAGGGAAACTGGTTTTGCAAAGTTGTCAGCTATATGTGATTACATTAAGGATTTACTTGAGGCTGAGAGAAAGTTTTTATGCTTTGGTCATCATCAGTCAGTTTTGGATGCTATCTGTAAGAGTATAAAAGAAAAGGGTATTCAGTATATACGTATTGATGGATCAACATCTTCAGAAACTCGCAAACAACTATGTGACAAATTTCAGTTTAATGATACAGTGCGTGTGGCAGTTTTAAGTATTACTGCTGCTAATTCTGGTATTAACTTAACAGCTGCACATATGGTGATATTTGCTGAACTGTTTTGGAATCCTGGAATTCTCACACAGGCAGAAGACAGAGCTCATCGTATTGGTCAACAGGATTCTGTTGTGGTCCAGTACCTTGTTGCTCAAGGTACAGCTGATGACCACATCTGGCCCCTTGTTCAAAAAAAGCTAGAAATCCTGAATAAAGCAGGACTTAGTAAAGACAATTTCTCTGATGCTGACACAACTAGAGTTAAGGGTCTTTGTCAGTCTTCACTAGATGACTTTTTAGAAGATCTTAGTAAGGATCAGGCATTCTTGGATGAACTTATTATGTCTCAAGAAATTCCTTCATAAGATACGTCAGTACAAAATGATTAAAAGATTTATATGCTCATTATTCTTGTGGTGTGGTATCCATTAAACTGAAAAAAAAAAATTTTTTTGCATGAAAATAATTGTTAGTGTTAAATTTCCTTTGAGTTTTTAACTTTTCACAAAAAGGCAACATTGTGTTGGTTCATATACTTACATATAAATGGAATATTTAGTTCTAAGAAATAACTTTCACATTTTACTTAGCTTGAAATAAAAGTGTCGGCTTATTTTTTAATTAAAAAGTATTAAATATTGATCAGTTGGCCACACTTGTGGTATACTGCAAGTGTTTTTACCAGCACATTTATGCTGTTTGAGTTATAAAGTTGTCACAAACCACATTATGTACAGAGTAAGTAATTACTTCTCTTTGAAGATTTATTGAAAATGATACAAGAGTGTGATGGATGGAATTATGATTTAGTGAAGATAGTTAGTACTTTGCTACATTGACCAGTGAGGTGTATACACGTATTACAAATGTAACCAGTTTACCACTAGAATTAAAATAGTTATTGAGTGGCAAATAAACTGGCCTTTATGTCTGATATATTTCAAAATGTAGTGTATAATATATATATATATATTCACAGAGCACAGATTCAGATTGATTGCAATAACTTTTCAATAAACTTGGTATCATGAAACATTTTGTGTGTTAAATAGACCACATGGTACACTTTGCACCTTTTTCTCCTCATTTTTAACAATTGAAGTAGGTGCAATTCATTAAGTAACCCAAAGGTAGAACTGGGTATATATCAAATAAAAAGCCTTTTTTAGGTGAATGGTCTTATATTGCCTAAGATTTGTATAGTCAATGAAATAAAAGCAAGCATAATTGTTTTTTTAATTTTTACATTTATGTATCAGTTTTTTTAAGATGTTTGCTCTCCTTCAGGTCTCAGCATATTAAAGACTGAAAATAATTGTTTCATTTTTGTATCAAGTTTGATAAACAGTAAAACTCTACAACATACTTTTAATTACCTTGACTGCTTATTTCTTTTACTTGTACCAAACTTCAAATTAACTCAGTTATTGTTAATTAAAGCTCTAAGCCACAAATTATTTATAAAAACTTAAAAACATGCGAAGTATATATGGACCATGAAGCTTTGCTTTTGCTTCATGAATTTCATTGTCACTTGTTCCCCACTTTCTTGTTCTTTGCAGTTCTATTCCTTATTTTCCTCTCCATTATTGGATTCAAAAATCTCATCTTCATCAAATGAATACTGGGAAAGATAGAAGGATGCTATCTGTAGTAGGTAACATACAGGAAAATATAAACCTTACCACCTTGTTAATGAAGAGAGATCCTTAAATTATCCAGTAGGAATACCATCTCGCACTGTTTTTAATTATATTGATTGTTTCTTGTTGATCATATGACTTTTGAAATTGATTATTCCCAGAATGAAGATCACTTGCTGAACCAAATTACTCATAACTCATAGCCTTCCCTTGGTAATGTGGAACAACAAGGTATTCGTTATTATTATGACAAGTTACAGCTTTTACATAAAAAAGGATATTTTTAAAACAGGTATGATGTTTTGATCACTTGTGTGATCATTCTCAAGTACACAAGTTTATATGTTAAAGAAGGTTTTAAAAACCACCATTGATCAAAATGTTGTACTTGTTTTAAAAATATGTTTTCTTACTGTAAAAGTTTTAACTTATAATAATAATAATAATCAGTAAATAAGCTCAAAATAAAACTATTAACTAAGTGCTCTGTATTTTGGGTTGGGGTGATAACTTGTTTATACCATTTATTGATATTATCCATTGTATTTTCTCTTGATGTATGAACTGTTTTATGCATGCTAATATATGAGTTATGTAAATACTTTACACCTTTATGCACCTCTGAGAGTACTTCTTACGTAATTATATGATGCATTTCTCTCCTCTTGTATCATTTATTATTCTGAATTTATAATTTTTTCTTTATATATGCATGTTTCACATAAAACACAAAATAATCTGTTGATTTTGTTACAGCTGCTTTTGTTGTTCATTATTCTTGAGTAAGTAATACCATTTCTGCCCGTGGGTGGTATTGCTGTAATACTTCATTTGTGCAAGAATGTCAACAGCAATGTCCTTCAATGATGGTGATACATGAGGTTATGGCCTCGCCTATGTTTGAAGGTGAATGACCAGTCATGTGGGTAGCACTAGTTGCTTTGATTAAATATGACATTTCTTGTGACATCAGGATTATTATAGTTAAATAGTCTGTACATGGTTTCAGCCTAATCAGTTTAAGTAAAAGCATTCATCCTATATTAATAAAGCACGTATACATTGTACTTGTGTTAAGTGTGATAGTAAGATTGTTCATTTTATGTTTCACTTTGTTTCCAGTCTCTTATTTCATTTATTCTCATGTCTCAGTTATTCAGAGATTTAGCATTATTTCATAATAGGTATCTTGACTGAATTTCCTGTTATTTCACAGACATATTCCATTCCTCTAAAGTTAATTTAGTTTTACCTCAACATACCACAGATAAGATAAGAATGAGTAAATGTTGGTATCATAACCATGGGATATTGTATTGTGGAGTATGCTATTTCTGCTAAATATGTACTTCCCTTTACTAGAACTTTTGTGCTTTAAGTATAAGAAAAAAAGCTTAGTGAAAGGAAATTACATTTTCTACAACCAGAAGGACTTTTAACCAAGAATTAGAGTTGGTAATTAAGTCCTGCACTAGAAATTGGACTTTCATCAATGCTGCAAAGATCCATAACTTCTATCTCATTTACAGCTGATGACTCAGGAAAAAAATAGTCCCATTGTATGGTTCACCCAGATTGGCTGTCCATGCTCTTCTCTGAGGATCAGCTTTAGTGCAAGGGAAACATAGATGACTGTGGATTGTTGCAGTGGTATGGTGGCTGATAAGTCTGAGACCAAGTAAGGATTACTGTATAGGACTCTTTAGATTTATGCTTACCACAGTAATCCCAGCCTACCTCTAGTCAAAGCCACTCAAAATTAGTCAAGAGAGACTAGAGGTGTCAATGGGGATCTACTAATACAAGCTATCTCACCAACAGGTGAGGCAATGAAACGAATGGACCATGAAATATTGGTAAGCCACTGAACTGGAAGGTATATTGCCAATATAATTTTGGATTGCAGAGATGTTTGGGATCGTCCAGAGCCAGTAAAAGAACTGCCTAGCTTACTTCATTGTTCTGCCACCCTAGAGAAGGGGCCATTGGATTGTCAGGGTCCTTAAGAGCACCTACAATACTATGCCTACAATTTTTAGAACATCTGTATAAGCTGATAGCTGGGAAGTTCTGAATCAGAGGACCCGGTCACAATCACCATTTCACATGAGTGAGGCAAGGGAGATCACTCGGTCATTATCCATAGTATAATGAAAGAGGACTTGGACTATTTCCTGAAATGTTCCAGACATGGAACTGCTTGGAATGGCTGGAATTCAAAACAGGCTGTACAATGCCTGGTTCTAATTTTATATGGTCCAGCCTTAGAGTCCATCAGAAACTTGAAAGACAAGCAACTGTGGGATTCCAAGAAAGTCATTACTGAATTACACCAAAAGTTTGCCCCAATAAAAAATGGAGCAATCCATCAGGCCAATTTCAAGGCTAGGAAGAGGGCTTCAATGGAGAGCTTGACTACTTACATGCATGATCTTCACTGTATTGATGTTAAGGCATACTTTGCAGTGGCCTTAATGGGTTATAAAGTTAACCTCATTGAGAAGTTTATGGGTTACCAGTGAAATTATGCAACATCACCTGGGTCTGAGAGATCTCACCCTTACTAAGGCAGTTTCTGGTATGATGCAATGGTTTCATTGTGTTCGGAACAGAGAAATATCAATTTCTCTTTTAATACAAGCTTCATTCCCACAGGAAAGATAATGATTAGCTTGGATGAATTTGTAATAGTTCTTGTCACATAGCTAGCAAGCCAGAAAAATTGTGACAGTTAGAGGAAATTGTTTGCTTTTTGCATGTTGTTATTCTATGTTCTTTGAGGCATTATTTAATTAACTAAAGATTATTTTGTGCATTACTACCATTGGTATAAAAAAGTAGGGTTAAGTATAATCAACAGTCTAAAGCAAAAAAAAAGAAGACAAGGGTAAGTACTTTTTATTGTTTTTCATGTTTATTTTTTATTTATTAATATAAAAGTAACTTAAATGCAAAAATAGGGACCTCTTTAAGTTAGTTAAGCTTAGATTAGGTAAAATAAATAAAAATATTTCACAAGGCACCACGCACGCGAGCAGGTCAGAATCAGTATATTCATGGACAAATACTTTTTTTAGATTATTAAAAATACTGAAAAAATATTTTATTGTGTGTGAGAGACTTGTAATGTTTACTGTAAGACTGCCAAATTTTGTGAAGATAAACACACTATATTAAAAGATAGTAGTATCAAATCTACAAAGACTTTGAATTAGTACAAAGAGGTCATTTGGTCAATCAAATTGAGAGAGTTAACAAGGGTAGACGCTACACTTCTACACATGATCAATGTCTAGTTAATTATGTTAAAATCATTATTTTAATTACTGTCCATAGGAGTTTAACAAATATGCTGTGACAGTGTTGATATACTTTTTCATATGATTACGTCATCAATATCTAGATTTAATTATGTTGAAACCAGTATTTTGCCTATTTTAGCATTTGTACTAATAAAATTTGCTTCAACTAAATATAATAAGTGGATGACTTACTGTTTATCTATCCATTTTCTATATAGGCTTTGATCACTAGCCAACACACTTCCAATCTTCTTTCGATACAGAAATCTTGTGAAAGTATGGAATACATTTCTAAACTCTTCATAAGTTATTTCAGACAGTGCTCTGTAGGACACTATGAGTTTCACTTTCAAAAGTAAACATACATATATGAATGAGACAGTTATTATAACCAGTAATCAGTTAATTAAAAAAAACGGAGACGTAACAATAGTAAACTGTTCATTTATTATATTTAGTTGTAGGATGGTATTGACGTTCGTTGCTATAGCGTTTGTTTAGCGCGATTGTTGAGTGTATCGGTTAAGTTATATTCGGAAAGAATAAACCAGTTTTATTAAGTAAAGGCTTGTGTCGCGTAAGTTTCGTCGGTACGAAGTTACGGAAAATTTGATCTGCGGTCGGAGTAGAAGAGAAATGTAATGTGTGAGTAGATAGTGAGTAATTTTATATACCAGCGTAACCTATTTCTAGTAAGACCTTGAACATTCGACAAAGTACATGATAGTTCTAGAAACGTTGCGTCACGGCGGTCATGTGACTGCTGACGCAACAATATATATATATTTACACGTAGGTGTAGAACATGAAAATATAATGTATATACATTTAACATAAGTGTAGAACATATGAAATATAATATATATATATATATGTTTACATGTACGTGTAAAACATGAAAATATAATGTATATACGTTTAATATAAGTGTAAAACATGAACATATAATGTATATACGTTTAATATAAGTGTATAACAGGAAATATAATATATATATATATATGTTTACATGTACGTGTAAAACATGAAAATATAATGTATATACGTTTAACATAAGTGTAGAATATGGAAATATAATGTATATATATATATGTTTACATGTACGTGTAAAACATGAAAATATAATGTATATACGTTTAATATAAGTGTAGAACAGGAAATATAATATATATACATTTGTTTACATGCACGTGTAAAACATGAAAATATAATGTATATACGTTTAATATAAGTGTATAACAGGAAATATAATATGTATATATATATATATATGTTTACATGTACGTGTAAAACATGAACATATAATGTATATACGTTTAATATAAGTGTAGAACAGGAAATATAATATATGTTTACGTGTACGTGTAAAACATGAACA